TATATATACCAGGCTAGTGATGAATGGAAGATTGGAGATTGGCTTGTAGTTCTGCAGTAGGAACTACTGATCCAGATTGCTCTGTTTTATCAGTGGTGTGATAACTGTTGTTTATAAAACCTGGGGGTAAAACACCTGTTAGAATACTATTTGAATGAGATTACAAGCAGAACTTTCTTTGGGAAAGCTCTCTGTAGGATATCAAGACAACAGGAGTTTAATTCATGTATCGTTTCTTCAAAGTTGTCTTAGTTGAGTTGGCAGAATTGTGTTATTTTTTTCCAGATTTGTGTAGATTCAGCATAGCACTGATGAACTGACTGACCCTCTAATCTACAGAAATAGCTCAGTAAAAAGTGTGCAAATTCATGGCAGGCCCCGGTGGTGTTGAGTTTGGGTTCTACAATGACTGCAGGATTTGTTAGTCTCCCAAAAGAAGACCTTAAGAGGTGCTTGTTTTTATACATCTACACCAACAAATACATGCAATCAACCATTAAAACGTGATAAACTTTTGTGAATGCACTATGGAATAGAATAGACTATACTTTATATCCCCAAAGCGATCTACAAAGAATAGGCCAGTAAAAGATTTGAGGGGCACAAACAAGAGGATGATCCTCCAGAGTGATGATTGTTACTGAACTGAGGTTTTAAAAACATTTAAAAACAAGGAGGGGTTGACCATCATCACAGCTGTTGATATAAAATAGAGTTTCTAAAGCACTGACATAGATACTGTTCTCAAATAAGCAGCATACCTTTCCTGTGCTTCCAGACTTGTAGTAGCTGATCTTATACTTGAGATCATTTTTCAGAATGTCCTTGATGGTCTGCTGCTTCCCTCCCTCAGAGATGGATGTCAGCGGATGTGTGATATTGAGAATGACGGTGCCCTCATCAACATCCGTGAGGGAAAATTCCAAAGCGCTGATATTGCCTACCAATATGAGACAGCAGTGATAATGAGATGTTTTGTCTGGCTTAACATGTCAGAAATCAGGGAAAGTCACATCACAGGTACAGAAGCTAAGCGAGTCCACATATCACTCACTCACAATGGTAAATATTTTTAGTGCTTACAATGTCGATTGAGTCAAAAAATTATAATGATCAGTTTGACGTGTTCTAACTTATTATGCCTGGTATCCATGTCGATTATTTTCTTCAGACGTAAAACACAATAAAAATAGTTTTATATATGTATACTAACACTTTGTATAACTCAAAGTATTCAGCTAGGAAAATCCTGATTATTAAGGATATGTTTGTTTTGTTAGTGTTTAAAAGTTGTTAAAAGATATAGTAGCAGTAATAGCAGTAGCTTCAGTTGTCACTTGATCAAATAGAACCTCACACTGAGCCCGGTTCTGGTTCTGTTAAAGGGGAGTTTTCCTCTCCACTGTTGCTACATGCATGCTCAGTCTGAGGGATTGCTGTGAAGCCAGTCCCTCAGACTAAGAATGCATGTAGCCATTCCTCAGGGATTGATAACAATCAATTTACAATGTATGTAGTTGATTTGGAATCTGTTGCATGATTGCTTTGAACTGACCATTTTTGTAAAATGCCTTTAGATTATGTGTTGTGAATTTGTGTTACGTAAATATTTTTAAGTAAGTATTTATTTTTAACTAAATGTACCATCTGCAACCTGTCCAGGGCATAACCCTGCTGGAGATGGGCACCTGCACCCCCAACAACCCCACTAGGAATAAAAGTGTAAGATGATGGATGGATGGATGGATGGATGGATGGATGGATGGATGGATGGATGGATGGATGGATGGATGGATGGATGGATGGATGGATTAGTAGACTTACCTTGAACTTAAAAAGATTGAACAGATTGGATTTTATGCCAAAATGTGGTTTACCTGTGCACTTTGTGTATTGGTTATGTGTAATCTCTTAGATATTTCACTTTACAGTAGTTGGTTCCTGAAAGTGATAATTTGATAAGTGTCAATGGACTGACCAGAAAAAGTGTACATTTCTTGTTTTTAAGTTTTTGGAGTTGTCAGTTTTCATTTTCTTTTGATTAAATATAAAAGGATTAAAGGGTCAGAGTGCGTTGACCATTGCATCTCAGTTCTTTCCCAGGAGGGGAAGTTTTAGTCATGAGCCATTAACGGTTCAGAGTGGAATGTGGATTAGCCAGAAATTCAAAAATGGAAGAAAATGCAAAAGCTCTTAAGTGCTCACATGTCTGTGTGTGGGTGTTTGGTAATGTGATACCTACTCTCTTTGTAGGGGTTAAACATTGGGGCATAGGTGTGAGGGAAGTCATAGTCCGAGCCAAACTCATCAAGAAGGTGCTCAGAGTCTGCTCTGATATCAGCTTCATAGTTCCTGTGAAGACAGAAAATCTTTCCTAAATTTTCTCTCTTTCTGGGATTTGTTTCTTCTGTACTGAGCAACTGCCAACCCCCATCCAAACTCACACAGTTTGCCTGACTGATTTTAACTTCAGCATTTACTTTGACTTTTAAAGCCGCTCACGTGTCTGGGTTACGAGTTGTGATGCAGGCAGCAAACCTTAGCACATCAGTTCCTGTCTGCATTTCAATGAAATTTGATCAGGCAGTTTAATTCTATTAATTTTATCTTCATGAAGTCAATTCATAGCACATGTTGTCTCAAAGACAAGGCCGTGGTATTTTTGGGGGATATTTTTCAAGGCATCTAACACCCTAAGCAGAAAACATTGAATTAACAAAGACAGGAAGCAACAGGAAGATAATAGTTATAGCTGCTAATTTTATTTCTTCAGACATGATGCAACACATATAAATATAGACATATAGAATAAAAGGTGAATATTTCTGAATTGCCAAGTTTTATGATGATTTTTGAGAAGTTTACCCTTTCTAAAGTTTTTCTATAACATTTCAACTGCTTTCATAAAAGAATATTACATTCCTTTATCAAATTTAAAATGAAATCCCTTCAAGTGTTTATTAAAAGTACCTTTGTCTCTTGAGTTTTACAAGAGATGGTAGAAGTTACTTTAACTCATCATAATGAATTAATGGTGATAGAAAAGACAAGTAAAAAATAAAATTCTCCGAGAAAAAATATCTATTTTATAAAATAAACTGTGAAAAGTTTTAAATGTCATCAGTAAGGTCTCACTTGTCTGATGCTTCAAGCTCCCGAGTCAAATCACATTCAGTCTCTGATGTTCTGGAGCAGTGATCAACATCCATCCAGTTGTCATGATTTCTGAAAGGTTTATGACACAATTAGATTTTAACAGAAAAAAACCTCCAAACATGACAATTATTTTAAACCAAAGAAACAAACAGCTGATGTTGCAAACAAAAAGAGGTTGGATGAAGTCATTGTTTTGTAAGTCACAAGTAAATCTCAAGTCAAATTTTAACTGAAGTTCCTAGTAAACACATGCAAGCCCCAAGTCAAGATAAAATCCTATACTTTTGATTTCAAGTATTAAACAAGCCATTCGATCAATTACTTTTATTAATTACTGGGTAATAATTCATAACATCTGAATTTGAATTCCTAAAATAATTTTGAAAAGTGTTGTTGATTGCCTGAACAACCAGTGATAGAAGCTGAACTTCAACATGTCTGAAAATTAGTAATGATGTTGTTTTTTTCTGGAAATATTTGCCAAAAAAATTAAACAGTCAGAAAACAGGAAAAAAAATATTCTCCAGAAAAAAAGCCAAAATAAATCAATTTCCTATAGACATTGCAAATGTCAACCAACTGAAACAGAGAAGCGGATTCTTAGAGACTCCCTGTCTCTAACTTTTTTTTTGGGGGGGGGGGCAAAATGAATGTTTGTAGCTGGACATAGACGACAACACCATCGGTAGCCTACAGGCTACTTGTTAACAAGCTTAAGGTGCTGCGTTGGTATTATCTAGCTAGTCATCTTTTAGCTAACTTTACCTGCATCCAACAGCTTTACTCAACTCAGTCGGTTAGTTTGGAGGAAAAACTGTGAAAAGTTC